TATGTGTGTATATATATATATATATATATATATATATATATATATATATATATATATATATATAATATATATGCATATACTGTATGTATATTGTATATACGTGTGTGTGTGTGTACATCAGAATCAGAATCAGAAAGAGCTTTATTGCCAAGTATGTTTGCACATACAAGGAATTAGTTATAGTGTCACAAGCTTCCAGTACACGGAGACAACAACAACACACAGATAATAAAAATGAGATGTGAATAAAATACACATGCATAAATATAAACCACAAAAAAAGAATAAATTGTATGTACAGGTGTGCTATAGATGGAATAGGAATAGAATAAAATAAAATAAGTTGTAGGGATGTAGGGTAGAAGATTGTGTGGCGTGTTCTGCCGAATGTTCAGCAGCTCATCCCTGGTAAAACTGATCGTGTTTGAGAAACAAAAAACAGGAAAAACTAACAAAAACAGTACAAACACTGGAGAGCCAAACACTGAGGCTGCCGTCTGCGGCACCATCGCTGGATCACATATGTGTGTGTGTGTGTGTGTGTGTGTGATGTTGTTGTTGTTATCATTGGGGTGAACATCAGTTAAACCAAACAGAAATCACAGGGATGAAATATAAAATAATATAAACAATATAATATAAAATTTCTTGTCTACTTCTTAATTTAGGATCATGTTACTAATGTTTAATTTGAACATCCACATATAGACTTTGTATTTGCATGTCTAAAATACTATAAATGTCATAGCCGACCAGTTTGAGACACACAGCATAAAAGTAGTGGCAAACAATGAGCCAAAAAATTCTCTTAACTCTTTGTCTCTTTTGTCTTTCTAGAAAATGTCTCTAAACAAGGAACAATGGTTTCAGTTTGTGCTCTCTTACCTTGTTTAAAAGTGTTTGAAATATGTATTTTTTTAGGTAATGCCAAAAAAACACTCATCAAAAAGTTTTACAAAGAGACTTTAAAGTCCTGACACATGACTCGAGGCGTACAAGACAAGCTTTTGTTTTCATTTTTAGAGGTCATTGTGTGGGGGACACAGGCAGTGAGGCGCGCCCTCATTGGCTTGTTGAGATGAACAAAAACTACCCCCGCCGCCGCTGATTGGCAGAAACAAACTTCTAGTAAATAAGACCGCCCACCTCTGTCTGTAAGTTTTCTTTAAAGTAACTTTCTCTGCAATGAAGTTGAGTATTTTTGCGGTGTCAGAGGCGAAGAAATCACCGCAAAGATGAAGTTGTGTAAAACTTTTCTCGGTGAGTGCTGGACTGCTTACTTTTATTTTACTTGAGTCTTTTCCTCGCGTCAAACTTAGATTTAGTCTGGTGCGCCGTGGTTTTGTTGATAGCCGGTGTTTTTGGGTTTGGTTAACTTTTTGTTAACAATAACTATACACAATACGTTTATTGTTGTAATTAAAACACGAGTGATATAGCTAATTATACGGACTGATTATGCTGATTATAAACCTACAGCATACCAACAGACACCGTTGTTGTTGTTCTTTCTTTGTTTACTTTCGTTTTAAGTATTAATATAAAATGTTGACTGAATAGACTTGGATTACGTTTTAACATCAAATTCTATAGCCGAACGCATAGTAGTGACCCAGATCCCTGATTTTTTTTGCATCTTTTAAAAGTTGCGAACGAAATCCCTGTCCAGACAGTTTTTAAACAAAGGCAACTTTTGTCTCGCAGAAGGAGTTGTGCTTTAAACTCAGAGGCCGTCGGACTTCTGGCGTATTAAAACTTTTGTGTTCGGGAGGGATCAGTCCATCTGGCTGTGGGGGATTCCGGGTGTTGTGCTTCTCATTCGCTCAGCTGGCATCCTATGTAATATTTATACACAGTGTCTGGCCAGTGGGAACAGACTGTGGATATAATTGTATGCTGGGCTATCCATCTGTATACGAAACTTTAGGATCAGGGATGAGCAAAGTTCCAGCTGGTAACCGAAGAACTTCGGTGTCATTAAATATGTAAAACTCTCAAAAGCTTTTGCAAGCTTCATATATGATAAAAAAACGTTTTTGAAGTTTAGTAAAGAGTTCCACTCCCCCTTTACTATAGAGAAAATGCATTTTCCGTTTTAAGTTACATCTCTTTCCACTACATGTAACCTATAATAACTTATTGTAATATATTATTATTTATAGATTGATTTTGATATTTGGCCATCAATCGAACTTTGGAACGGCACTGTGTTTGGTTGGTTTACTGCACTGTAAAATGATTTCAGTAATTATATTAACAACATATTTTGATTTATTTTTTTAACAGTTTATTTTCGAAAAGTGAAATTAACTTATTTCTGACGTTCATTACTCAGGTAGAAAAGTGATAAAAAAAACAAAACAATTAAAATCACTTTGACATCAGAAAATAAACATAAGCTTCACTTTTATTCAACATTTTACAGTCTGGCAACCTCGGAAGAAATCATAGTAATTGAACCGATTACTTAGACAGATGAAGTTAATTCGATAATTTCCCACAAAACTAGGTCACGTTGTTAGGCTTCTAGAAGAACATAAAAGAAAAGTAGTTCAACGCTTTTGAAATAAGGCAAATGTGTCATTGCGCAAGAAAAAAATAGATCCATATTAAAGAATTGTGTTTTTCCACTTACAGAAACTATTCTCTTTCTTGTCAATACCGAATAGTATCGTGTAGGCTATGGCAATCGGACAATAGTCTTTTAAACATAAAACAAATGCTTGTATTTGATGTTTAAATTACTCTCTTTTGAGTAATTAATTTTTTTTTTAAAAATGTAATAGTCATTGTATTCATCGTTAAACTGCTATATACTCATTGAAGACAGCGTTTTCTTACTAGACACCTGCCACGGAAAGCGCTCTTGTCCATGGTACTGAAACAGCGCTGTTCTGGGTGCTGATCTTTCAGCTGAGCTCCTGCTTCTAAACGTAGAGATATTTTCCAAAATAACCGAATCAATTAGTTTAGAGCGTAAGTTAAATGTCAAACTTTTGTGTGAGTATTTTATACCGGGTGGGTGGGGGTCAGCGGCGCCCCTCTCCATCTTGTGCTGTACATGGTTTACTATGCTGATGATGTCACGGCGCAGGGTAGAGGAGGGGTGGACAATGGGCCTGTGAGCGAAAGGTAAGTCAGAACCGTTCGACAAAGCGTGTGGGAAAATGATTTTGGCAACATTTGTGCTCACATTACATGTCGATTAATGGATATATGCGTATTGCTTACAACATGAGGAGGTTTTGGACCGGTCCTGAGCGAATTATTAGAGGTTTATAACGGTAGCGGCACGAGACTCGTTCTGAAGGGGAGGTACTGTACAACACTGAAGTTAACACACAGAGCCTACAAAGAGCAAGAGGCCGCTCGCATCTCCTTGAAAAAACGTCGTTTGCTTGTGGTATTTTTTTATTTACTAATTCAGATGCTGATGTGGATAAAAATGCAATGTTTGGAAAAGGTTTGCTGGTTTGGATTTACGTTAATATTGAAGCCAAATGGACGCCGGACTTGTAATCTCTTACAGAAGAAGTGCCATTCCAACCGTGTTTACATTTCTTGCACATTCTGTTTTATTTTCGCTTGCGTTCTATACGCCACAACTACGTTGTGTAAAAAGAACGATTCCACAATGGTTTTTGGATCATTGTATTTGCATTTACATTGCTGCTTTATTTTCAAGAAACCCAAGAACTTAAAAGGGCCTCTATTGCATCTATAACACAATATCCAGGCTCCCGTGTTACATTTTAGAGTCGAGCTTGTTTTAAAACAATATTTATAGACGAATCGGAAGTTTAAAGCCAAACGGAATATCGATTGGAAGTTTGTCGATTCACACTAAGTCAGAGATACATGTACAAATACAATGTATTTTATGGGAGTGGACAAATAGTCATTAGAAACCCTTAAGCAACGCAAAAGCAGCATATGTTTCGTCTTCTGTGCGTGCGTTATCTACGAGAAGCAAAAACAATGCGAACGAACCATCTGTTTACTTCAGGCTAGGCCTACATAATACACTATTCGTTTATTAGATTATCGCCTTTCTTTCTGTTTTACATTTTAATTGCTCTTTATTCATCGCTTATTCTTGTTTTAGCACCTCTGTAGGTTGGACTCTAACGTTATTGCTCTAACAATAGAGTCGTAGGTCTTGTAAACATATTCTGCTAGATATTGTTAATTCTCCAGGAAAGTGACAGTGTTTTAAAGGCGGAGGGTTTGGCTGATAGTAATTGAAAGGCGTGGTGTGCTAGAAGAGGTTATGCGCAGCAGCATCATGGTGCTTTTTCGAAGTAAAGGGCCTGATGCGACAAAAAAATACTAATATTAGTCTATAGGCCTACTAAAACGTATTAGCAATTTGTGGCTAACATGCACTCTCATTGGTCCATTTCATGCATGGGCCTACTATATAAGAGTCAAACAAGGTTTTTGTATGCTGGGAGATACCGTCATTTAAGAGAATGGGCCCTATTTTTTGAGAAAAACTTTAAAAAGGGATGACTGAAACTATTTATCTCAAGTAACTTGGCATAAAAAAATCTGTCATCAACTTCATCTAGAAATAACATATCAGCAAGCATGCAAATGTCCCTTATCTTTTACATGCTGTTGTCTTTGTAAGTGTCTTTGAAAGCCATATTTTGAAGAATTTATGTGTATTTATATTACTTGACTCCTAATGTGTTGGAAAATACACTCTTAAAAATAAAGGTGCTTCAAAAGGTTCTTCAACCATTCAGTCAAAGGTTCTTTAAATAACCATCTCTTTCTTACCTTTTTGTAATCTGAAGAACCTTCTTTTGCCACAAAGAACCTTTTGTGAAACAGAAAGGTTCTTCAGATGTTAAAGGTTCTTTATGGAACCATTTAGACAAAAAGGTTCTTCTATGGCATCGTGAAGCACCTTTATTTTTAAGAGTGTAGGATACATTATTTTCAAAGATATTATGTTCCTCCCTTTTGTATCGTCTTACTTTTATAGAAAGTTTTCAGCAAATGCAATAAAATCAGTTTAATTGGTTTCCATGCGAACAAACACGGGACACTGACTTCTAAGAAAGGTTTACATTGCATATTGCATCATATGCGGCAAGTGCCGCAATTGTTGCGCTTCTCAAGGGAATTCCCTCCCCTGTTACATGTGTGACATGACTGAGCACCAGGTGCTGCCTAAAATGTAATCAGACCACATGTAATGACGCCCTGATAAAAACAGCTGGGTCACGGCCGGATCTCTCGTCACCCAGGAAGAATAATCAACACCAGAGCCATGAAGGCACGCAGACCGTGATGGACTGCTGAAAGCCCATTCAGTGACCAAAGTGTATGGGTCCTCTGGGGGCTTTTTAATGTTTGCTTCTGGATTACGGGTGTTCATCTTTTATAGTCATCCTGTGGAAAATGACATCACAATAGTTGCGAATGAATCAGCATTACTGGCATAGATTTGCTTACTTTCTGATCTAAGAGGCTCAATTGCTCGCAAAGAATATGTGTGTTTTCTTGGTATTTTAGTTTTATTGCATATTTCACACTAATATTACTCAAAAATATAATAAATATATAAAATAGTTTAACTAATTACCCAAACATCAAAAATGGGAATCCACTGTCAATACCTGCTTTAGTGTGTCACTTTTAATAAGCGGATGGTTTTTTTTCTCATGTCAATGTGTAATACATAAGTATGCACCTTTTAATATTTGGACATGTCAGACTGAAATTGTTGTCTTATCCTTTCTGTCCAACAGAGAATGAGTTCAGAGGGCAGCTGCTGAGCCAGAGGTGGACACGAGGGGACAGAGCCAGCAGCTGTGAGAACAAGAGGAGTAGGAGACTAAAAGTGAGACATTATGTGTGTTTGTGTATGTCAGAGTAGCTTCATTTTCATTGATTATCTCTTGTCTTATACTGTACCACAAAACCAAAGAAACTAAAAGTACATTTCCCTTTCCGAAGCTCTGACATCTTTATAAGTCTGGGAGGGCCTCATTTCTTTCTTATATTTCACTTCACCTCCACTAAGGATTGGGAGGGATGTGCATTTGAAAAAACTTGGATGTGTATTATTGATTGAGCTCTTTACAAGCATTTAAGAGGATAGGGGGCTACTCTGGTGTCTGTGAAATCAGACCTGCTCCGATCTGAAGACAAAAATCACAGTCTGAAGGTATAAGAGCCGGAGAACAGTGATGTTGTATGATTTTAGAGACACATTAGAGAAACGGAGAGTGTAAATATCTAAAGGCATTAATAAATACTTATTATAATCTCATAACCACTCATGTGTTTGTGTTCCAGATGAGCCAAGACGCAGATGAGAAGCGGACGAGGACACGCTCAAAAGGAATCAGAGGTGATAGCCTCTTAAAAACTCTTTAAAAAAATAATGTTTTGAAAAATATGTTTTGTCCATTTTAGTGAATTTAATGAATGACAGAGCTTTTATCTCGCTCCTTATATCAGTTCCTCTTGAGCTTGTCGGACAAGAGTACAGGTGAGAGCTTTTATGCTTTTGTAGTGTTACTCATCATGTTTTTAAAGACCAGAGTTTAGTATGTTAATGTATACAGCTAATCAAAACCACTGTTTTGCAGCTGTCCTACACCAGGATGTGACGGCTTAGGCCATGTCAGTGGAAAGTATGCACGACACAGAAGGTAGGTAGTAAGAATTCAGTCTCTTATAGCTGCCATTATTAAAAAAGAAAAAGTGAGCAACTGAAGAGTTTTTTGCCAAACCTTTTCATCCGTTCCAGTTCATTGGGCTGCCCATTAGCTAAGAAAAGAAAACTCCAGGAGGCCGAGGAGAATCAGCCAGCCCCCAAAAAGAAGCCCAACCCCCTAAAGCTGGCCATGGATGATGGGTTTAATGCAGACAGTGACACAAACAGTGAAACAGAAACAAAAGATGAGGGAGTAGAATCTGAAGAGGACACTACTGATAAAGAGATGGAAGCAAAAGAAAAAACACCTACATCAGAAGCAATGACAGGTGGGTTAATAACCTATTAACTACAAAAAAGTTTATTATTTTTAAAGTTATGTACCATACAGTGCACATACTATGGTCTTTATGTATTTATGCTTTATTATATCACCCAAACTTGTCAAGAAACATTAAAAAAACATTTAGTTAATGATGGCCTTTTTGCCATTCCCTTAGAAGAAATTTCACAAGTGGATTCAGAAGAGAAAAAGACACCTGTCAGAGAAACATCAAGTTTAGTGCCAGAGAGCGAAATTGAGAAGGAAGAAGCCAATATCGAGGCTATGTCCATCCAACAAATCACCATGGATGCTGAGGCAGAGGAGGGGCTACAGGTCACTGAAGAAATTCAGGCTCGAGAGGAAGAGGTAGAGGAGGAAGCAGAAGAGATTACAGAGGAAGAGCGTGTGACCCAGCAGCTGAAAGAGACTGACGAGCTTGTGACAACAGTTGAGGAAGAAGAGGAGGATGATGAGGAAGAGGAAGAGGGGGAAGAGGAGACACAATGTTTGAGCCAGAAGAACAACTCGGACCACCAGTACTTCAGTGGAGACTTTGGCAAAATCCAGACCAAAGACACTGGGGAGACAGAGAAGGACAGTGAAGATGATGATGATGATGAGGAAGAAGATGAGGAGATCCAATCCCAGGTAGAGCCTTCCTCCTTAATTGCCCCTGTCCCCGCTGCTTCAGCTCAGGAATTAGACATGATGACGCACAGCAACATCAATCTAAACCACCCTCTTGGTGAAGATGAGGAGGAGGAGGATGAAGACGAAAGAGATGATGCTTCGGATAAAGACTCACCCACTGTAGTCATCGAGCTGGGTTCAGAGGGAGAGGAAGAGGAAGAGGAAGAAGAGGAAGATGACGGAGAAGAAGAGGAGGCTGATGAAGCGGATGATGACGAGTTGGACAGCATGTCACAGAGGTCAGATGTCACAGATGACTCAGAGACGTACGACATGACACGGGGGAACCTGGGACTTCTGGAACAGGCCATTGCACTGAAAGCCAAACAAACAGGCCGCAGTTCTGAAGAGAGCTGCTCTCCTGAGCAGCAGTGCTACCACAGCTCAGAGGAGAGGATGAGTAATACCATGGACATCACAGCTCGTAGAGCATACTATGGCAAAGGTGACAGGAAATTGCTGCCTACCTATTATGACCCCAATTAAATATAGATAACATTATCATGCAGGTACAGTGTGTGTGGAGTTTAATTTGCTTTTGCCTCATCACTCTTGGGCACAGAAGGTTCTAGATCAGAGAAGAAGGAAGTAAAGTGCCCTACTCCAGGATGTGATGGGGCAGGTCATGTGACTGGATTATACCCACACCACCGCAGCCTTTCTGGGTGCCCACACAAGGACAGAATCCCTCCAGAGGGTAAGCATTGTATTGCACTATTATTATAATATGTGAAACACACACACACATAATATATATTAATACAAATTTAAAACACATTTACATTTACATACATTTGTTTGTAAAAATTGTATAAAAAATTATAAAATGTGTACATATTTTATATAAAATTTAAATATATGTATATTACCGACTTAAAAAAAAAAAGTATTTTGCTGCATTTATTTGATTAAAAATACTGTAAAAACACACATTTAATCACAATTTAAAATAACTGTTTTCTATTTTTATTTATATTTTTAAATATAATTTATTCCTGTGATAAATATATCCTTCAAAAATCATGCCAATATGCTAATCTGGTGCTCAAGAATTTTTTTATTTTTTTTTAAATATATCAATGTTCAAGAGAGCTTGTGCTACTTAATATTTTTGTGTAAACCATGATTTTATTTTAATTCTTTGAATAATAGAAAGTTCAAATGAACATTTATTTAAAATGTTTTTTTTATATTATAAATGTCTTTACTGCCCATTTTGGTCATTTTAATGCACCCTTGCTGAATATAAGTATTAATTTCTTTAAAAAAAAGTATTTTGCTGCATTTATTTGATTAAAAATACTGTAAAAACACACATTTAATCACAATTTAAAATAACTGTTTTCTATTTTTATTTATATTTTTAAATATAATTTATTCCTGTGATAAATATATCCTTCAAAAATCATGCCAATATGCTAATCTGGTGCTCAAGAATTTTTTTATTTTTTTTTAAATATATCAATGTTCAAGAGAGCTTGTGCTACTTAATATTTTTGTGTAAACCATGATTTTATTTTAATTCTTTGAATAATAGAAAGTTCAAATGAACATTTATTTAAAATGTTTTTTTTATATTATAAATGTCTTTACTGCCCATTTTGGTCATTTTAATGCACCCTTGCTGAATATAAGTATTAATTTCTTTAAAAAAACAACAACATTTGAACGGTAGAATAAATATTCTATAAGCTAATGTGTTTTTTTGGCATTAGTCTTGGCGATGCACGAGAATATACTTAAGTGTCCAACACCTGGATGCACTGGACAGGGACATGTGAACAGCAACCGCAACACACATCGCAGGTACTGCTCCATAACTATTTTAAACTTTTCAGGCGTCAATTTCTGTTCACAACAGGTTTCACTAAAACCATGTGTTTTCTTGCATTGGACACTTTTAGTCTCTCTGGCTGCCCTATTGCTGCTGCAGGGAAACAGAAAAGCCATGAAAAGCAGTCACAGCCGCAGACCTCTGTCAGTGATCCTGCCAGCGGAGGCTCAAACTCTGACAGAGTTCTCAGGTGAGGTCCTCTCAGGTCCTCTGCTCAACATCCCAGCTAGATCTTTAACAGACAAAAGAGCCTGATAGGGAAACATTGTGACTAAACACTCTTTCCTCTACAGGCCGATGTGTTTTGTGAAACAGCTGGACATCCCTCAGTACGGTAGCTACAGGCCCAATGCCATGCCAGCCACTCCTCGTGCTAACCTGGCTAAGGAGCTGGAGAAGTATTCTAAGGTGTCTTTCGACTATGCAAGCTTCGATGTACAGGTGTTCGGCAAGCGCATGCTTGCACCCAAGATGCCCACCAGCGAAACCTCACCTAAAGCCTTCAAATGTAAGCACCCCCTCATTCCCTTTAAAATAACAGATACAAATACAACAGATATTAATAGATAATTAATTATTGATAGCATACTGGAACACATATTATTATTATTATTATTATTATTACTATTATAATGAACAGCCAAACCATTCCCCAAAGCCTTGTCCCCCAGCCACAGCCTGTCAGGAGGCTACACCAAAAGCAGCTCCTCTTCCACCTCAAGTGGGTACGATTATACCCATGATGCCGAAGCCGCACACATGGCTGCCACTGCCATTCTCAACCTGTCCACCCGCTGCTGGGAGAGGCCTGAAAACCTCAGCACCAGACAGCCAGATCAGGCCAGCAAAGTTAGTTCCTCTCTGTCTGTATCTGGAAAGTTGAGTTCCATAACATCCACATTATATATATGCTAGATTCTAATTAATATCTTCTAAAATCTAGGACATGGACATTGAGGTGGATGAGAATGGCACACTGGACCTCAGCATGAAGAAACCCAAGAGGGAAGGTGTCAGGTCACCAGACCCATCTTCACCCTCGTCATCATCTTCTCAACACCATGGCGTCAACTCACCCCACTCCAGCCACACCTATAAACAAGAGGAGTGGGAGGGGCCTCTGGACTACACCAAGTCAAACCGACAGAAAGAGGAGGAGCCAGAGGAGGTAAATGTATATCAATTTGAGAAATATTCATATAGTCTCACTTCATGGTTAAATTATGGTAAATGAATAAAAACCTTCATTCTATGAATTCAACTTTCACAGTTTTGCACCTGTTTGACTGTTGTTTGTCTGTTGTGTCCAGGTTGAGTACACCACACACTCATACGCTTCCTCTGATGGAGACGATGATGATGCCACTCAGGAGAGCACGGAGGACAGGAAATACCCTGGTGAGGTCACAACCTCCAGCTTCAAAGTCAAATTCCAGCCTAAGGACAGCAAGAAAGAGGTCTTGCTGTAAGTGTCTGCTGCAACAACAGCTTTATTTAAACACAAAACACATCTGCTAAGCCAATAAAAGACGTCTGTAAAATTAGTGTTTTGCAAAGGTTAATAAATGACCAGAATGATTCCACAGGGATTTAATACTCTCTTTACCTCCCCTCCAGATGTCCCACCCCAGGTTGTGATGGCAGTGGACATATAACTGGGAACTATGCATCACACCGCAGGTATGCCAGAAGCTGACACAGTATTTCAACTCTGAACACAAGCCCTATTTGTGTTTTCTTTTTTTCTTTATCTGTTTTCCTCTCTGTTGAACCCTAACAGCTTCAGCTCTCTATAGCATAAACCTGTATATTGACTGCAGACAAATGCTATATGTCTCTTTAATGCATTTGGGCAACTCATTTACTCATGTCTCTTTGTATGTATATATTTGCTAAAATACATACATAAAAATGACAAATCAGTGACATACTACAAAATATATATCTCTTCCATCTTCAATTAAATCTTCCTCCCTCTATTCTTTCTTCCTGGTATTTTTCTACTGTTCTTCAGTCTCTCTGGTTGTCCCCTTGCTGATAAAAGTCTTCGGACCCTCATGGCTGCCCACTCTGCTGAACTCAAGTATGTCTGTGCCCTATTTTTTCCTCTAATGAATCCTTTACCGATTACTGCTTCTACTTGACTCTACATAATACTGCTGTTACTGCAAAGCCCTGTTTACTGTACCTTTTACTGGCCACATGGCTGCCACTGCCATTCTCAACCTGTCCACCCGCTGCTGGGAGAGGCCTGAAAACCTCAGCACCAGACAGCCAGATCAGGCCAGCAAAGTTAGTTCCTCTCTGTCTGTATCTGGAAAGTTGAGTTCCATAACATCCACATTATATATATGCTAGATTCTAATTAATATCTTCTAAAATCTAGGACATGGACATTGAGGTGGATGAGAATGGCACACTGGACCTCAGCATGAAGAAACCCAAGAGGGAAGGTGTCAGGTCACCAGACCCATCTTCACCCTCGTCATCATCTTCTCAACACCATGGCGTCAACTCACCCCACTCCAGCCACACCTATAAACAAGAGGAGTGGGAGGGGCCTCTGGACTACACCAAGTCAAACCGACAGAAAGAGGAGGAGCCAGAGGAGGTAAATGTATATCAATTTGAGAAATATTCATATAGTCTCACTTCATGGTTAAATTATGGTAAATGAATAAAAACCTTCATTCTATGAATTCAACTTTCACAGTTTTGCACCTGTTTGACTGTTGTTTGTCTGTTGTGTCCAGGTTGAGTACACCACACACTCATACGCTTCCTCTGATGGAGACGATGATGATGCCACTCAGGAGAGCACGGAGGACAGGAAATACCCTGGTGAGGTCACAACCTCCAGCTTCAAAGTCAAATTCCAGCCTAAGGACAGCAAGAAAGAGGTCTTGCTGTAAGTGTCTGCTGCAACAACAGCTTTATTTAAACACAAAACACATCTGCTAAGCCAATAAAAGACGTCTGTAAAATTAGTGTTTTGCAAAGGTTAATAAATGACCAGAATGATTCCACAGGGATTTAATACTCTCTTTACCTCCCCTCCAGATGTCCCACCCCAGGTTGTGATGGCAGTGGACATATAACTGGGAACTATGCATCACACCGCAGGTATGCCAGAAGCTGACACAGTATTTCAACTCTGAACACAAGCCCTATTTGTGTTTTCTTTTTTTCTTTATCTGTTTTCCTCTCTGTTGAACCCTAACAGCTTCAGCTCTCTATAGCATAAACCTGTATATTGACTGCAGACAAATGCTATATGTCTCTTTAATGCATTTGGGCAACTCATTTACTCATGTCTCTTTGTATGTATATATTTGCTAAAATACATACATAAAAATGACAAATCAGTGACATACTACAAAATATATATCTCTTCCATCTTCAATTAAATCTTCCTCCCTCTATTCTTTCTTCCTGGTATTTTTCTACTGTTCTTCAGTCTCTCTGGTTGTCCCCTTGCTGATAAAAGTCTTCGGACCCTCATGGCTGCCCACTCTGCTGAACTCAAGTATGTCTGTGCCCTATTTTTTCCTCTAATGAATCCTTTACCGATTACTGCTTCTACTTGACTCTACATAATACTGCTGTTACTGCAAAGCCCTGTTTACTGTACCTTTTACTGGCTATTCTTATACTCTTGAAGCAGTAATCACTTTATATTTTCAGTGGCCAAAAATATAATTTTCTTGGACTGTGTCCTAGAGATGCATCAAACCAGCTGAGACACATTAAGCATCCAGGCTGAAGGCCAACTGTTTATTTAGATTTCCAGTATGACTGTATGTGTGATATTTGAATTGTATCTTTCTAAAGTCTTTCTCTTTGTGACCTCCAGATGCCCTACCCCAGGTTGTGATGGAACAGGACACATCACTGGAAACTATGCTTCCCATAGAAGGTATGTTAATTAAGAGATATTACACTGACTGAACCTACTTTCAAGATGCACTTTTGGATTCAGTGTCAAGCTTTGCAACTAGTCAAAAATATTAAACGGCAAATGTAAAAAAATAATAACATTCACACTTTCTCTATTGCAGTCTGTCTGGATGTCCACGTGCCAAGAAGGGAGGAATCAAAACCACCCCGACTAAGGATGACAAGGAAGATTCTGAGATCCTAAAGTATGTTTTTCTTTTTTTTTTTACAAAACAATCTCAACTTTTTCTGTACGAAAACTTTTGAGCACAGCCTGTATCTTTAGAGAATGCCAAACCTGACTGCCAGTTCATCACTTACCTCTCTATAGGTGCCCGGTGCCAGGCTGTGACAGTCTGGGGCATATCAGTGGGAAATATGCCACTCACCGCAGTGCCTATGGGTGCCCACTGGCAGCACGCCAGCAGAAGGAGGGCATGTTAAATGGCACTCCATTCTCCTGGAAGGCCTTCAAGACTGAAGGCCCGACCTGCCCTACGCCAGGATGTGATGGATCAGGACATGCCAACGGCAGCTTTCTCACTCATCGCAGGTACAGACGGAACCTAGTAAAAATTTACAGATAAATATTAGTATTATGGTATTAAATAGTCTTGATAAATGGCAAGCTGAGAGTGAATTAAAACTGTTATATATGATAGATATATAATAAAACTAATTGTCTTGGAAATGCCATATGTAAGTAATATGTTTTTAAATATTAGAAATGCCTGTTTTTGGCTTTCTGGGGTTACCGAAAGATTAAAACCGAAAAGAATAAAAACAATAAATCTAAGACAATAAATTTTTTCATATCTCTTAATCATAATGTGTTTCTACAGTCTATCAGGTTGCCCTAGAGCTTCAGCTAACAAGAAGAGAGCCAGGTTCCCAGGAGATGATTACATCAGCAAGAAATTCAGGGCAAGTGATGGTAAGATCAAATATAATTTGCTTCTCTTCTTTCATCCCCATTATGTTCATTTTGTGCTCTTCATTAACATATGCATTGTTTTTCTGTTCCCTTCAGTTCTTGACAATGATGAAGACATAAAACAGCTGAACAAAGAGATCAATGAACTGAATGAGTCGAACTCTGAGATGGAAGCAGACATGGACAACCTCCATACACAGGTCTGCTTTTATTAAATGCATATTTATCAATGCATATACACACTACTATTCAAAAGTTTGAGGTTGGTAAGTTTTTTTTTGTGTTTTTGAAATAAGTTTTTTTAATTGATCAATTAATTGCATCCCTGCCAAATTTATTTCCTTCAAAATAAAAAATCTTACTGACCCCAAACTTTTGAACAGTTCACGTATCAGAAACTTTGATAAAGACAGATATGAAACAGATTCACTCTATATATGGCTGAAATGAGATCTGAGATCATTAATAGCATTAGGTCCTTCACTGGTGGTAACTGCATGTAATAAGCTTTTTTGATAAGAAATATTTCCATAAGAAATATAATGATAATGATAATATTTACAGTACTTTAAATACAATATTACAAATGACAGTATTTTATCATCACAAAGATAGAATACACATCTTGACCGTGGAGCTGCTGTTTATTCATGCAATTCTATCCCTCAATAGATCTCATCCATGGAGAAGAACCTCAAGAGCATGGAGGAAGAAAATAAACTCATAGAGGAGAAGAATGAGGCTCTGTTCATGGAACTGTCAGGCCTGAGCCAGGCTCTTATCCGCAGCCTTGCCAACATCCGTCTACCACAGATGGTCAGTCCGCTTGCTATCTACCTTTTATGACTATGCCCAACTAGCATTGTACATTATACTTTTATGTAGCTTGCTTTTAACAAACTGTAATCTGTTGTTTACCACAGCAAGGGCCCATCACTGAGCAGAATTTTGACGCCTGCGTGGACACCCTGACCCACATGTTCACCGATAAGGAGTGCTATCAGAACCCAGAGAACCGAGCCCTACTCGAGTCGATCAACCAGGCTGTCAAAGGCATTGAGGTGTGAGCAGAGGAGCAGCAGCTGCAAGACACTGTGGGTTAAATAACCAGACTAACAACATAAAAATACTGTTTTAAGGACATTCAGGTTTTGTATGTGGCACCCTCCGTAAACGCGGAACATCACGAGACCCATGGAAGTCAGAGAAAAGGACCAAATTCCAATTCCAAACTATGCTGCTTAGCAATTTTGATGAGATACAAGATCCTTTGCCTCTTAAACCAAGCTGGCTCTTCTTGTTTTGGGGTATATTTTGGAGCAAACCATTTGTTACTGTTTTCTAGAGCAACTCTCACCAACACTGATCTGCCTTTTTACTTCCCTCAGTGCATGGAGGTTGCCGTGAACAATAAGTTGTGAGATTGTCGTGTGTCTGTGGAGGAGAGTCTATGTGTGTATGCGTAACAGAGTGTTTTATGTGTAACGTCCGAAGGTGAATTCCCAATTAATGACCTCCCTTGACAAAATATGATTAGTATGCAGCACTGCTACATTTGATCCCTGTATGATAATGTTGTCTCATATTTGGTGTAAATGTTCTCCTGTTCCATTCAGTAATATTTATCGTATTTGAGAACATAGATATTGCACTTCCATGAATAGTTTGTAGTTCCATCGTCATGTTATTATTGTAATTATTATTATTATTATTATGGCTATTTAAATTGGGTCCTTGAAATGTAAGTTTAATGTATTATTTATTCATGTTAAGGGTTATTTTATTTATTTATTAATCAGTGTCTATTTATGGACTTAATTTATTTCACAAAGCAAAATTCTATACACAGCTTTTAAACAGTTATTAAGAGGAGAGACGTTGCCTTCTGCGTTGTGAAAGAGGCAATATTTTAAGAATATCGACAGCAAATTGTTTTATAAACCTTCCTATTTATTTTAAAGACAGAGATTTATAATCTCTTTTTTTTAAGTGCAAATATTTTCTACCTAACAATTTTTATATTGTTTTTTAATATTCTTCTTTATTTAACGAGTTCTTTTTTCCATAAAAGTATTTTGACACCCTCCAGTCAAGAGTGAAGTGGGTTGAACATATATGATGTATTTATTGTTATTTATTTAGTATTTAAGAACAAATTGAATGGAGATCTTGTTGCATATTTATTTTGTAAATGTCTCTGTGTTAGTGGTTGCTGCATATGGATAGTCTTTGCCCATGTTGTTGATAAAATAAATGGGAATTCTATCACCTACAACAGAGAGCATTTAATGCTGAGGGCTTCTATTGAGTTATTATGACTGCATATTTACAAGCTTGCATTTGCCCCTGATCCAACAGTGATATTTTGTGAGACATTGGTCAGTCCCAATAATTTCGGCTTCTCTGACATTTATTAGAGCAAAGATAAAATTCGAACCAAACACTCTCTCAGCAGGATACTTGGCTGACATCTGCTGGATACAAAATGATTCAGTCACGATTTCTGTTCAGCTGATAAAGTCTACATAAAAACATAAAGGATGTATTTGTATTTTGTCAAGATTAATATTAATATGATATTAAATATTAATGCTTTGGATAAAAGCGTCTGCTAAATGTCTAAATGTATTAAGACCAATACTGATAAAATGGCTGATAACAAAACCTCAAAAACTGTTTAAAATTCACGTCTTTTAAAAGTTATAGATTTATTTTACTGTCTACATGTCGCTGAAAAACCATTAATAGGCTATTGACATGCCATGATGGCTCCTTTGTGACAACTTACCCCATATGGTGTGACATCATGCCCTGCTACAGATCAACAATCTTTTCTTTTGTGCAACAACGGTGGCAATGTTCAATCGAGGCCCTATATATCTAAAATATGTGCCCATACAACAATTAAATAGAAATAACCACATTGAGAATTATTCACCAATACAAATGTGTTGACTGCTTCCGTTTTTTCCCCTATCCTTATCAACACCAGAGGCTGCTGTGTTTATGAATATGCCATAAAAAGAATGTAGTGCAGGACCCATGTGCTCCATGGCCCCTGGTTTGTGTTTGTGTGCGTGACGTCACGGAGTCAGCTGGCGAATGTTTACATCCAGCGCTGCTCGCCGTGAACGTTTATGGGAAGAAACCGAGAGATAGAAACAACAGGAGACAGTTAACCGAATGGACAGCCTCGACAGACCATAATCAGGGTGTTTCAGGGTGCCAGACGATTCAGCTCGGTCGACTGTGAAGTCGTCGGGGTGTTTCCCGTGACAAGTTTCTACCCAAAACACCTCCATCCCGATTTTTCCTGTCTTTGTCTTCATTTACGTCTACTTTTTGCAGGTAAGCGCATTATATGAGTCGTGCTCGCTGTTATCTATTATAATTCTGACGTGATAATAGAATGATAAACTATTGGTTAGTGCATTTTCACTGAGCCTAACGAGTAGTTTAGCGTGCAGAATGAACGGCAGGTCGTGATGATTAAAAATAAAGGGCTGATGTATGTTATTTCATATTGAACTGTATTTGAGTAACTACCCGGATGTTCAACAAAACACTGCACAATATGCGTTTGTTAGCGAATGGCGCAGCTGCATTTGAGCGCGTGGTGATTGGTGGAGCATTCCTCACATCCGCAGTTTCTACACAGCGTCTCTGGGGAAGCTTTAACTTTCCAACAGCGCAGCCCAGCGCCACCACCCGTCAACTGGACAAAAATGCTGTTTTGTTAGAACCAAAGCATGTGCAGTAAGCCCCCAAATTATTTGGACACTTAAATACATACGCATGTCATTGCATTAGATAGGAAAATATTAAATACAGTGGCATTTAAAGAAATACAACACTAACACACTTCCTAAGCAAAATGCTCCTCAAAAAGAAGTCTTATGAACTTGTGAACTGAGTTTTCAGACTGATTACAAAATGTATTAGGACAAATTCTGCTTGACAGTAGTTAAATGCTCAGATGTATAATTAAGCAGACATGCAATCCATCATCTTTTAGAGAAGTGGTTCTCAACAAGCGGCCCACAATCTAAAGTGTTGTCTGGGACAGCAATGCATTATATGCATTTTATTTAAAAACATAAAATTCAACTAATATGATTGTGCATAGTTAGGATAGCGAAATAAATAGGCTTACCGCAGCCTCAGTTTGGTTTGTATGTTTAATTACTGGCTGCCAAGAGCAAGGAACAACCAAAATTCAAGAGATATTTAACCAAACTTAAGAAAACATTTGGCGGCAGTAGGTATTATATTTAAAAAAATTAATTAATACTTTCAAGAAAAGATGCATTATATTGATCATAAGTGACAGAAAAAAACGTTTATATTACAGAGGATTTCTATTTGACATAAATGCTATTATTTTGACATTTCTATTCACCAAAAAGAAAAATAAATAAATAAATAAAAACACAACTAATGAAATAAAATAAAAAATAAATAGTACAGTTGTTTTCAACATTGATAATAATGAATGTTAAAAGTTATCTTAAATTGTAATAATATTTCATTTCTGTTTTACTGTATTTTTTATTTTTTTAAAAATGTAGCCTTGTTGAGCATAGACTTTTAAGAACATTAAAAAATGATTACCAACCCCACTTTTGAATAGTAGTGTAAAAAAATTAAAGAAACTTAATTTGTAAATTTTCCTATTCAGCCTATGTCAAGTTAATAATTTAGCATATTATTTGGTCTATTCATTTCATGGTAATATTAATACATTTCAGTTTTATATCTTACTCGGTCCTGGTACTGTGTTGGGGTGCCACTTTTCTGAAGCAAAATCAGTTCAGATCCACTGTTATAGCAAGAAACTAATGAAAGTGGTTGTTTATCAGTTCAACTTTTTTAAAGGCCTGAATCAACGGTATGTTTCCAGTTTTTCAGCTTTGTTTACATGCGTACTTACGTCTTTTATTTTCTTCTCTTCTGTTTTGCACCCAAAAAAGAGCTAAAATGGGAGGTGCAGTCAGTGCTGGGGAGGACAATGACGAGTTAATTGACAACCTGAAGGAGGCCCAGTACATTCGCTCAGATCTGGTTGAACATGCCTTCAGGGCCATTGATCGTGCTGACTACTATCTGGAAGAATTCCGTGACAGTGCCTACAAGGATCTGGCCTGGAGACACGGCAACATCCACCTCTCTGCGCCCTGTATCTACTCTGAGGTGATGGAGGCTTTAGACCTGCAGCCTGGCTTGTCCTTTCTTAACCTGGGCAGTGGCACAGGCTACCTCAGCACCATGGTGGGACTTACACTGGGTGAGTTCATAGAGAACATGAAGGCTTTCATTTTGCTCTGCCATCATTTACTGCCCCTATGTCGTTCCAAACCTGTATGACTTTTTCTTCTTGGAAACACAAAGCTATTTCGAAGAAAGGTAACTAAACCGTTTCTATTCTCATTGAATTCCATTGTGTTTTTTTTCATACAGTGGAAATCAATGGGAACCAAACCTGTTTGGTTACCACCATTCTTCAAAATATCTTCTTTTGTGTTCAAGAAAAGAAAAATGATACAACTTTGGAACGACATAAGGGCGAGTATATGAGGACACTTTTTTATCGCGTTTGAGTTATTAACATTGAACCCTGTTTTTTCTTTCAGTGCATTTTCTTCATATGCCATAATGTGCTCACTGAATTTTTCTGTCATATTTCCAGGAGCATTTGGTGTGAATCATGGTGTGGAATTACATGAAGATGTTATAGAATATGCTTATCAGAAGCTGGACTTCTTCATCAAGTCAAATTATAGTTTTGACAGGTGTAGTAACTTTTGGGTGTTTACTTTTATGTTAATATAAACTCATTCCCTTGTTCAAAGTGTAATGTGCAAAATGAAGTGACTGACATTGTCAATATTTTTGGTCTAGGTTTGAGTTCTGTGAGCCTTCCTTTGTGGTGGGCAACTGTCTGGAGATTGCCCCGGAAAGCAGGCAGTATGACAGGGTTTACTGTGGCGCAGGGGTCCAGAGAGAACATGAAGACTACATGAAGAAGCTGTTGAAGGTTGGGGGCGTCTTAGTACTACCTCTGGAAGAAAAGGTGAATAATTGAAAGACAAAGCAATTTTACAGTACATCTGGTTTCAGGTAATCCAGGAGAGATTGTGTGTGAAATTTATGTCTATGCATTTCTAATTTGTTCTAGCTCACTAAAATTACTCGGACAGGATATAACACATGGGAGACGAGAAAGATAATTGCTGTGTCCTTTGCACCACTTGTGCTCCCTAAACACAGAGAAAATGGTAAACTGAGAGCAGTGTCTCTACGTAAGTCACTTGCTGTATTTTAAATTGTTTAATTAAATTAGATTATTGTGGCCTTTTCTTTATTTTGGTATATTAAATTAGAAAAATACAAAATAGAAGCAATTTCACTTCTATTGGATATTTGAACAGCACTGTACACTACGGTTCAAAAGTATATAAAAAAAAAAAATTTAGCAAGGATAAAAAGTGTCAGTAAAAACATTGTTGCAAAAAATGTATTGTTATCATTCATATATGTTAGAATGCTGAAAAAATTCATAAGGTCTCAAATGTTTTCAACATGATTTCTGAAAGATCATGTCATGAGTCGTGACTCGTGTCACTGAAAACTGGAGTCGTAGCTGCTGAAAATTCGGCTTTGACATCACAGGAATGAATTACATTTTAAAATATTTTGAATAGTAATATTTTACAATATTACTGTTTTTACAGCATTTTTAATCAAATAAATGCAGCCTTTGTGAGATAAAAATATAGAAATATATATAAAAAATATAGAAATAATAATAAAAAAAATACTAGATAAAAAAATTGTGGATATTGAGTATAATGATAATAGGATTGGTGTATATGCATAAATGCAGTCAAAAACCCCCATGTTTCATGCTGTCCAGCTGCCATGTTTGAGGTGCGGAGTCTTCAGGATCTGGCCCGCATCTCCATCCGTCACATTCT